GCCTCTCTTTTTTATATTTAAGATTAGGAGTTTAGCTTAAATTAGATAGTATATATTCTCTTTGTAAGCAAAGGGTATACTAATATATTACTAAGATGCTGATTTCTTATTCGCTGTATTCTAATGTATATCGTTATCGACTAGGTTATAATCACTAATAAGATGATGAGCTTTTCTGATGTCAGCCAGATTCGATAAAGAGCTCTCAGCAAGGGGACGATTCCCTACATCAAGCAGCCAAAGTTGGAAAACAAGGCACGATCACGGACTCGGTGCTTGTCGAACACCACATTGCACACATTTCGTTACAGGGAAATTGACGCTGAGACTGCAGTGCGGGCTCGCTCCTTGCGAAAGAATCTTGAGGTCTTGAACTTTTGACTGTGAACAGTGGAAAGACACTCAAGTAGCACTTGTGTTGGGGTGAGGGTGCCGTGTTTCGGCTATCGATGTGACCTTGGCCTCGCAAGTCGAGTCTGGCAGCTAACGTTGAGTTGTGAGAGATGTGCTGAAGGTTGTAAAATAGGCTTCACTCTCCTTACTTTGCGCAGAAAGGGAGCGGCTAAACGCTAAAATGCGTCTCAGAAGGCTGTTGCGTACCAATACTACACGTTACTTAGCGCATGTGCAGATCAGCTACAGTCGCTTTTCAAGAGCTACACGGTCTTTGTTTGCTACAATAGTCTCACACGTCTAGAAAAGAGCCGCTGAGCATGATCGGTCTTCCTGTGATCAACATTCCCGATGGACGGCATTTGCGTAATGGTTGCTGCAAGGTAGCGCAATCCACGGGATGACGAGATTATCGCATGTTTTGCCGGAGATTTAGACACGACATCTGCAGGACTTCATGCATGCGGGGTGACGTGGGGCATTCTAGATTAGCCACGTCAGCCGGTTCCACCAACATCTGCAGAGTTTTCACAAGGGCATTCCTGCCAAAGGATATGCAGCTTTTCGTTTCGGGGCTTTGTAAGCTATGGACGCTTGAATATTTACTGCTCAAGACAAAATGTCCCTATCAAATCATCCTGATTGATCACTCGCATCGGTGGTTTAGTGGTAAAATTAGCCGTTGCCATTCATCTACATTCAACCAAATGTATACGAATAATTCGGCTAGCCCCGGGTTCGATTCCCGGCCGATGCAAGTTAATTTTTGCAGTTGTAGAGGTCCTGGACACGTTGTGGTGGTGTGGTGAGGTGGCGGATTGGCTGAAAGGACCGGAGATCGAAGGTTGGCTGACGAACCCACCATCGCTTTTTGGGGAACATGAGAGCTCGGGAACATCAATCATACTCGTCAAGAACACAGAAGCTACATACTTTTCATGAAGATTTCATGTGATGAATGCCGGTCTGGTCAGTGACTTCAAGGAGGTTTTTCAACGACGATGTTGCGAACGCCATGGAACCATCTTGCGCTATCAGAGCCTCTGAGACAAACCTACGGGCTTCGCGCTGAAGGAAACTAAGGTCAATACTGTTGGTCGGGAGTGATACTGATTGATAGCACAAGTCAAGCTGACTATTTGCGGCAACTAACACTATCAAATCGTAAATTCCAGACTTCAACCTGCACAAATGAGCTCCGATATAACCGACATTGGACTCTACATGGCTAATACAGGATGAGCAACATGAATACCATCACTATGCAGTCTAATGAAGTGGGTCACGGTGGTGTTTATGCTGTAGAGTCTGACCTGCGAAGCATCGTCGAAGGACTAACAATAACCTTAATTGCAGGGTTGCATATCAGGAGAGAGCGCCATCGAAGGGAATGGCCAAGAAGTTCAAACACAAGTAGATGCGTCATATCATGATCCCATTTCGGGCGTTTTGTTTTCAAAGCCTTAGAGCAATTCACGAGCATGAATTCAACAACCTGGAGTTTTTGCGAATGGAGACTTCGGACCATGAGGCGGCGACTATGGAAGAATGCGTTCGCAGATGTAAAGATCGTTCTCAGCATGCCGGCAGGAAATTGAGGTGGAAAGACGTAACCATCACTTCTGCTACAAGACAAGCACAATTTCCCTACTTAGAGCAGAAATCTCTATCTCTCGAAAACTCTTGCACAAGGCGAAAAAGCAATTGAAGATTGTGTTTGACGCATAGAGAGTGCTTCTACGATGGGCAACAACAAGTGTTTTGAGGTCTCCAGCACACCTGCATTCTGTCGGGGAAAGATAAATAGTGTAACCAGGGAAACATCCAAGTCGCCCTTAAATGCAACATCAGCTATCAATTCTCCGTGATAATGTGTGAGAACTAAATTCTCATGTGGTGGAAGGTTGAAGTTGGTTCTTCGCATCGGTATTTTCAAAGTAGGCCTGGCCGTTTGGCGTTCGCCAAGCCCACTAGACCGCCATCGGTTAGCACTGCCAAAGCTCGCTTGCGATTTCGACCCTCCCACATCCGCACTTTTGACGACGACGACGCCTACCCAACGCAGCACCTCTCAAGACTACCCGCCCTTCCACCTACAAATCAATCAAAATGGAGAACGAACGCGGCGAGCTCGTTGACCGTGAGTCTTGCCCTCCCTCGTGCACTGCCCGAACTCGCAATTTTGCAGCCCCACCAAATTCGCGATGCGCATCACAAGGCACAAAAGCTAACATTATACGCAGTTTACGTCCCCCGCAAATGCGTGAGTGCCCGCCAACCCACCGATTGACCGTCGAACCGCAATACTAATGCCCTCAAGTCCGCCACCGGACGCATCATCAAGGCCAAGGACCACGCCTCCGTCCAGATCAGCGTTGGCAAGGTTGACGAGAACGGCCGCTACACTGGCGACAACCAGGTCTACGCGCTGTCCGGTTTCGTCCGCGCCATGGGCGAGAGCGACGACAGCTTCAACAGGCTCACACAGAAGGACGGCTTCCTCAAGAGCGTCTGGAGCGCGTCTCGGTAAATGGATGGGGATATGGAGTTGAGGTACGGCGAACCTCGTGGAGGACGATGAAGAATAGGAGGAACGTGGGCTGACTGGCACCAGGAATTCGGTTTCTGAGCTGCCTTTCGGAGGCACCGACATGCATTAAATGGCGACCCGGGCCTGTACTTTCCTTCTCATGAAGATCACCACGGTGTCACGAGGGATGGAATCCGGTTGAGCTTACTCTACGAACAAATCTACGAAAGTCCAACATTTTGTCGCCGTATGCTATCAACAAAGAGTGATCGTTTAGATGTGCTGCATTCACCATAACAAGCACAGAAATTTAGGGAAGCGTCGGAGACTGACCTTGGCCATGGCGCACTCATACCAGGAACCCGCATCGAATGATGCAAGAATCATACGTACCGGCGCCGCTTTACGTCAATAGTCGAGGAGGGCGATCTAGATTCGCATGCAATTTCCTTAGCATGTGTACACGCGCACTGTTCCGTCACTATATCGTACACACATGTACCGTCAGCAACACGAGGACAATAATTTCCCTCTTTCGCATGGTGTGCGATGCCATACTCCTGAACGGTTACTCAACAACACAGGTCAACCACTAACAGCTGCAGCAGCACGCGAACCCGGCAATCTTGTGTCTGACGTCGTACCCTCCCAGCCAACAGATCCCACCTGACTCGTCACATATATGTGCTACTACAGCGCCATCTAGACCTTCACAACGCTCCCATCCGATTCGCAACCATGCCCTCGGACCCCGCCAACGTGGAGCCGCGACACCCTCAGCACCGGCCTGCACACCACCTCGGACGCGCCTCAATAAAGACCCACTCACACCTCGCTAATGCCCTCATGCTCCGCGCCTATCAAGATCCCTGGGTGCATCATGCCGTGCAATACACGGCGAAAACGCTCTGGCGAAATCCAATGTCGACGTCCACCTCGAAGCGGGGCCCACTCAGTGTACATCTATGTGCCAGGTACGTCTCAAAGTATCTTGACCCGTGACAAGTTCTCGTCCGCCCTGTACGACAGCGATACCAAGCACATGGCTTTCCACGACCATCTTTACTGATAAGCAGTCTACACACACTGCACTGCCCTTAAGATGATCATCTGCACCTCCCTTTCCATCCCAGATATATGCACTCGCCCACCTCCTTCACTCTTACAACATACCGTTCAGAAAAGCCAATACAGCCATGACGCGCGCCCGTCACCGTCTGCGGCGCGCGCTGTCGCTCAACAAAGATGCAGCCTACAAGCCAAGAACTGGGATCGAGAGGAACGGGGGTCAGCTTACTGTGTACATCGGTGTTTGTGTGCGGTCTTGTGCGTGGCAGGCGCTTAGCGGTCCGCAATGGATATGTGCGGGGCGCACACCGATTACTGCGCAATTGCGTGGACGATGAGAAAGGCGTGTAGGCTCTGTGAATTTCTGAGTATGTTGCCGAAGTATGTAACCAGGTCGATATTTGATGTTTTGGAAGGTGTTCATGAGACTAGATTCGGAGTAACTTTGGACACGTGTAGGGTAGTGGCACAGAATGAAGCCTTGTATCGGCCGACTTGCAGTGTAACATGATGAATAGTCAGAAGCAGCGTAGTGACACTGCATAGATCAGTGATAGCATGGAACGTGAAAGCTTGTTTGTCGTGCGAGGACGATATCTAGGGCTGCAGCTGAGTCGAGTCGAGTCACGGCGATCGACACGTCAAACCTCACTCACGAACTATACACCTTCTGTTCATGCAACACTATATTACTATCGAATGTCTCTTGCTCTACTACTGCATCTCAAACCAGCCACGAATCCAAAAGCATCCACACTAGCCCAAACCTCCTCATGGATCCAATTCATTAGCCGATTACTTATCCAGTGCCCCCGCAAGCTTGGTCTGTACAACCCATCATTTTCCCATCGTGGATGCAAACCCCTTGAGTCGCCCACTACACAACGTGGCTAGTCCCACAACCAGCAATCCCGCATCCGGGGAAGCGGGCTGCGCCAATCTACATCTTGGCATGCATACAAAGCGGTGTGATAGCTGCACGACTGCGGGCAGCTCCGCAACGCCAACGCCTGCCAACTTGAGGACAAGTCGTCCACGCGAGATGCGTGTTGATGTCAGAGACGCACGATATCGCTACTATGGAGTCAACTCGGCGAATTTACTTCGGCACTTTCGCTCCTGGAGGCGTGGGGTGAGGGCCTGTATGTTTTCTAGAATCGGCATCTGGAGCGAGCACGCGAACTCGTTTGCTGTCATCTTTGCGAGTCATTGTTGGGAATTGAGTTTGTGACTGAGGAGAAGAGCTGTCGTCGAGATGGCCACGTACTGCGGAGACGGCTTTGCTTTCTCGGACTTTCCAGTCATCCCCTTTGCGGACGAGCTTCGAGCGATCTTTGGCAGCTCTAAGACGAATGGCTTCTTCAATCTTCTCGTCACGTCGTTTGCCGCGTACGCAGTCACAGAGACAGCCTTCGGTAGCGCAAGCTCCATCCGAAAGACCAGGATCGGCAAACCAAGTCGAGAGGCAATTGCTATGTCCACCGTGACCGCAAAGTGAGCACCATGTCCACAAGGTAGCCTTGTGGGGGACCCAGTCCATTGGCTCACTCGGTGAAGGAGAATTGTCTTCCGAACCCTCATTACCCGCTTGAACCGAGAGGAGAGAAGACCGCTTCCTTCGGTGATCCTTCTCCTTGGACTTTGAACGAGATTTGTGTTTCATCTTGTTCTGAGCGCTGATCGATTCGAAAGCGGGGTATTTGCCCCAGCAGATTGGACATGGCGCCTGCGCTCGCTTACACGACTCACAGCGCATCTTGTCTTTTGGATTATTAATTGGTGCCTTGCAGCTCAAACAGAGTAGGCCCAGCTGAGTATCCTTGAGAGCCTGTTCGTACACCGCAGGATAGGCCGGATATGTTAATCGGCGAAGTGAAGCTGCAGACTGGAACAACGAGAGGCTATGCAGCTGTGCATGGTATGTATGGAGGATCGATTCCGCCTGATACGGATTAATCCCTGTGGCGATTGATTGACTGAGCTGTGTTGAAAGGACTGCTTTTGCTTGAGCCGCAGTCAGGCCAAGGGAGATGAAGGTATCAGAAAATGCTGCCAATACTTCTCCTACATCAATATCTGTGGCGTTATCAGGACTATGTGTCTGTGGTAGTAGTGGCGCTAAAAGTAGCAGCAGTATTGATGAGAACTGTGCGTCAGAT